GCCTTGAACAATAAGTTCTTAATAGTTCTAAAAATTTATTATTTCAGGTTTTCCTTAATTTATATCTAAAATATATTTTGTTAGTTCCCTGTATATTCAATGTCAATTCAAAGACATTATAAAATAGTAGTAGCTATTATAATGCAAACCTGAAAATCTGACTTCTCCCTTAAGTAAACAATAAAGATAATTTAATTTACATTTATGACAACTTGAACTATTATTCCAGATAATTTTTATTTTTTTAATGTTTATTTTTGAGAGAGAGAGAGAGAGAGACACCGTGAGCAGGGGAGAGAGACGGAGACATAGAAATCAAAAGTGAGCTCCAGGCTCCGTGCAGAGCCCAATGCAGGGCTCGAATTCATGGTACTGTGAGATCATGCCCTGAAGCCAAAGTCAGATGTTCAACCAACTGAGCCACCCAGGCGCCCCCAGATAATTTTACCTTTATCTGAAAACATCTCTTAATTTTATCCCTTAAACTATGCAATATTTGTAAAATAAATAACCATAAATATTTTTATATTTAGAGACATAACATGAATCATTATACAGTCTGTGAAAGTTAAACTCACCAAATTCTAGTAACTTAAACACAGAGACATTTTATGTCCTGTAAATATTCTAGTGTATATTCTGTATATATTCTAATATTTTTGGAATTATTGCTTCTAGATATTACACAGTGCTTAAGAATGGTATGGTTTCAAACTAAGTTTGAAGTTGGGGGGGTTATACTAATTTTTCAAACTGCTTGTTTGTTAAGAATTCTAATCAGGCATGTTGTAGGATACAGATTGGCAGTTTGCTTCCCAAACAGAATTATCTGGGGCACTTTAAAAAGATTTTGGGCTCCAACTATAGAGGATTCTGACTTAGTGCAGCTAAGGAAAAGTCTAGAAAACTGGCAAAAAGCACTTCAAATGATTCTGATAATCAGCCAGGTTAGGGAAATACTGACCGTTTATCTGAAAACATAAGTAGACCACAGGTAGATTTGCAGTAATTCCTTCCTGACCTTAAAAAGTTGTATCTTAAACCCATGTAAGCATACAAAAAACCAATCCACCAAAAAATGATCAGACATTCTGAACTGCTTTTCCAACTACAATTTGACTTATATTCTTTTCTTTTTTTTTTTTTTTTAATGTTTATTTATTTTGAGACAGAGAGAGAGTGGGGGTAGAGGCAGAAAGAGGAGAGGAGGGAGGGAGAGAGGGAGGGGTGAGGCAGAGAGAAAGGGGGGAGGAGAGGGGTGGGGAGAGAGGGAAAGAGAGAGAGAACAGGAGAGAATTCCACGCAGGCTCTGTGCTGTCAGTGTACAGTCTGATGTGGGGCTCAATCTCACAAACCCTGAGACCATGACCTGAGCCTGAAGTCAAGAATTGGACGCTTAACCGACTTAACCACCCAGGCACCCTGAATAAATTCAATTTCCATACCATAAATACAGAGCTGTTAAAAACCACTTTTACTAGATTATGATGAGGCTTGATCACTTTTTTCTTTTTTTTTCTTCCTTTCTGGTTCTTTCTTTTTTTTCCCCCACTAAATCCATCAGAGTCACCTGCTCAGCCACCAATTGGCAGGGAAAGACTTAAGGCCAGGTTTCTCCTCACTCACCAGGTTCTTACTGGTCACAGTTTGTCAGTTTCCTTTCTTAAGACCACCACCTACCATAATTAAAAAAAAGAGCTACTACACCTTTCATTTTGTCTAAAGAAAAAAAAGTCATACATAGAAGCAATGAATAATTATCGTTCTAAGCTACAACCCTCATCAAAGTATTTCAGTTGTATATGTAATTTAGTCTCATCATCACCTTGGGAGATACTTTCACCACTTTTAGGGGAAAAAGAAACTTCAATTCTGTACCTAGAAAATACGCAAACAATGTGCACAGGCTGTTCAATGTGGAGGTTCACATGCATAAGAAAACCAGAGTCAAGTACCAAAATGCACCAAGCTAACTATAGTCCATCAGTGGTCTTCACTGGTGATAAGTGATTTGAAAACTGTCAATAATATTCACTTCAAGAACAAACATGACAAAAAAAGTGTTAGGAAGTAACTAGAAAAATAAATTTTAAACGTTACTTCATCCTTTGGGAAGACCACTGGGAAAAGTTTCAAAGTATAGACCAAGCTATAGATGTGCATCTTGTGCTAAAACTGGTAGTAGTCTAGAATATTTTATAATTATTTTATTTTCTCATTTAAACCTGTAATAAACACTTAACATCTGGAGGATTTCATCATCATTTTACCTTGAGACACAGGAGAAAAAGAAAAAAGTGACCTTAAAATTCCTGTATTTTTTTTCCTAAAATATTTTATTTTTAGGTAATCTCTACACCAGCATGGGGCTCAAACTCACAAACCTGCAATCAAAAGTCGCATGTTCTCCTGAATGAGCCAGCCATGTGCCCCTCCTGTATTATTTGACAGTGAAATGAATTTCTACATAAATCTGTAGCACTGAAATAAGCATAACTAAAGGATAAATTACTAGAGAAGTATATATAGAGATATGGCAAAAAGAAGACAACCTCAAGCAACGCAGATAAAATAAGACAAGTCGCATGGCACCACCACTGGCCATACTTGTAGTAAGATGCGAAGAGAACTGGTAAGCACGTGCCAGACTGGTCATTAATCAGTCTTTACAATTGCTATAGCATCTACATTTTCAAAACCTAAGGACAACGATCTGGATCTGCTCATTCTAGAGTAACCTTAGCCCCAGGCTAAGTCCTATTTGACCAATAAATTCTACTTAAGTTTCAACCAAATATGGAAACAAAACAAGATAAAAAAACAGTACTGACTTTTTATTACTAAACCTAACATTGCAGGAACATTGTTTTCCACCATGTATCACATTTATGAGTCTTATATTTTCTGCTATGACATAATTGAAAAGTTATTGGAGTCGTTTCTATACTTCTATTTCAGACACTGAATTGAAAAAAAGTTGAAAGGTTTGAAAATTTGTTTGATCTACTTCACAAACAAGAATAATCTCTGTCCTTATTGTTAGAAATAAAATTTCCAGAGCCCTTTCACTGATTTTTAAGTTATCATCTTGGTACTGTATTAAATATATGCCACCAATTTCAAGATACTTACATGATTCAGATTTTAGCACCCCGCTGAATTTTTTGGGAAACCTTTTTGTTAGAAATTATTTTAAGGATGAATCATTTGCATAAAATCATAAGCATGCATCCATTTATGGCAAAAATTAGTCTGTCATTTTGAGATATATAGATAGATAAATATGTATTTATGGGCAACTATATATACCAAAAGAAGATGAAAGCATTACCTTCCTTATAGTTTACTGAAACACAACTATAAAAAACTCAAGCAGTGTGACATATGATAAAGCGTTAATTGCTGCTGGAAGAATAAACAAAACATAATTTACCCCCACCAAATAAACCACATGCAGCTTCAGAAGGCCTAGTACCATCCCGTTCTCAACTACCAAGGAGTAAAAACAATACAAGTGCAGCATGAGAAGATCTCAAAATCCTTCATACCCACCCCACCTACTGAATTCAACCCAACAGACTGAGTATCTGGGAGAGGGTTTCAGTCATGGCTGCTTCTGCTAAGTAAAGCTACTCTCCCCTGCACTGGGAGAGGCCTAACACAAGAAAAAACAAAGTGGAAACTATTGGGGAAAACAACAGAGAACTGGGGTAGATTCTACTCGTGGGGTGAATCAAAATCACAACCCACAAACAAAAAATACCACCTCATTCCCTATTCTATAATCCCAATTTCTGCTCTCCTTCTCTCTACTCCATCTTGCTCTACCTTTAGGCCCCCTTTTCCCTGGGTCTACAGAGACACAAACTAGCAGTCCAACTCTGTTATTTACAGAATTCAAGTACCAGAGCCCCTTGCCTACAAAACACCAAACCTAGATACTGGATTTGAAATGCCCAATTTAAATCCTGCGGAACTTGAAGAAGGGAGTATAACTGAGGAGCCAAGTCCAATCACAGAATCTCCGTTAAAACCAAACAGCAGCCCCAAAACACATTCTCAAAATGTTTTAAAAGGTATTCTCCTTCCGTCAAGGGCAAAAATGCTGTGCTTGAAGCATAACCGATGGCCTAGAAGAATTTCTGCAGCTTTCCACTTCCTCTGTCCCCAAAGTCCTGCTGAGACACGGATTAGAAATTACATTTCAAATATACCGCTCACTGAAAATGTAAACAGGCATCGATAGCAATTTTAAGGCCCAAAGAAGAATTAAAATGCAAAAAAAAAAGTGATTTAAATTAAAAAACACTGCATTTATTTAGGAGTACTTTAGCGGAAACAAGAGAATTGGAAATCAGTAGAATCATTTTCAGCTGCTTCTTCAGATGAATTTTTCCCCCCCCCCCTTCTCCCCCCTCCCCCAAAGTGCCTTCAGGTGTGGAGATTGTTAATTTCCAATGAATCACCTGAAGGCTGCCGGGCTTTCTCTTCTGATTACAGGCAGTGAAACCCGAACGAATTATTACGGCCACGAGGTGAGTGCCCTCCAGGATGCTCCAGGGCGCGCTTCCCAGGACCTCCCATCTTTTAGAGCCTACAGCTCGCCTTTACCAGTTTCCTATTAGGTAAAGGATTTCTCCCTGGCGCTTTAAGAACTCGTTTAATAAGAAATCTCTGAAGGGACTTAAAGGAATAAACCGCTACCAAAATAGCCTCTTTGCAGTTTTCATAAATTTGAAGGAGGGAGAAGGGCACAAAGCCATCAAACCGAACGCCCGGCTTCTCCCCGCCGACGCAAGGGAGAGACTCTAGAACACCGAGACGGGGAAGAGGAAAGGCGTTCGCCGGGTGTCCCCAGGGTGGATCCGGGACAAGACACTGGCGGGGTTCCGTCCGGGGCGACGCTCCCTGCAGCGGCGGGGCACCGCACCCAGAATGACGCGCAAGTGCAAACTCCGGGAGCGGTTCGCACGGGCGACGGCCGCCCCCGTCCCCCGTACCTGATGATGTCGTCGCTGTGGCCCCGGTAGAACTTCTGCCGGTGCTCCCGCGGACTGTACACCACGCCGACGCCGGCCACGAAGTACACGATCTCCTTGGCCGCCGTGTAGTAGAGGTTGTTGCGGCACTGGTGGCCCCGGTAGCCGTACACCCACTCGAGCCGCAGGTGGCAGTTCGGGGCGCTCCGGGCCGCCATGTCGGGGCGCCCACCCCGCCGCTCCGGCTCGGGCCCGCGGCAGCAGCGGGCGGCCGCGGCCCGGCCAAGAAAGCCCTCCTGCTGGCGGCCGGGACCTCCCGCCTGCCGCGTCCTCTAAGCCGCGCCAGGCAGGTGCATGTCGCTCCTTCTGGCCGCCGCCGCCGCCGCCTCAGCCCACGGGCGGGAGGAGAACCCTCGCCTCGCGGAACATGCTGAGGGCCGCGGGCGCTGCCGGCCGTCAAGCGCGGTGCCTCGCGCTCTTCTCCCGCCCGAGCTCGGCTGGTCTCCGCAGCCCGCGGCGCCCAGGCAGTGAGCGGAGCCGAGCGAGGTTCCGCCCCCCGCCTTCACTCCTCAGCCGCCGCCCGCGCAGCCGGCTCCCTGCCGAGGTCACCTGCGGCGTTCGCGCCCGGCCGCAGCCTCGCTCCCCAGCCCGCGGGCCCGCGCCGCGCGCCCCCGAGCCGAGAAGAGCGGCGGCGCGGCCTCGCGCGGCCCCGCCTCCCGCCGCCGCCGCCGCCGCCGTCGTCCGCGCCCGTTTCGCCCCGCCCTTCCCGGCGGCGGACCGTAAAGGCACCGCTCGCTCCGGGAGACCTCAGCCGCCTGGCTCTTCCCTGGAGACTGGCACGCGACTCGCGGCACTGCAGAGCGTCTCCAGCCGCCCTCACGCGCAGAGCGCTGGGGAAGCCGTCCGCACCCCGCGCGGACCGTTGGCGACCCTCCGCTTCCTGTCACTGGGAGTGGGGGAAGCGCCCGACTGACTCTGAAGGCCCCTGTCCCGACCAGGGTTATGTCTTGTCCTGGGAGAACCAACCCCCAGGATACTAATCTCATTTCTTCCCTGATACTTCCCGTGTGTGTGTTTCTTACTGCTTCATGCCGCTCACTATACCAGACATTGGAGATAAAACCCGACTTTCTAAGTGTACACTTTCTTATTTGTGCAGGTGACCTTAAAACATTTTGAGGTAGGGTACAAAATGACACATTAGGTCCAATTTCTTAATAAATACCTATGGTACCTGAATTTTTTTTTTTTTTGGTACCTGAATTTTTTTAAATTCCTATCTTGCATACCAATAAACTGGTGATACTTCTTGCAGTGTAGCAATGGTGAAGTAAGATAGCTGGAGTATTGTGACCATGAAGAATGTGCCTGAAACAAAAATACAGGAAGCAACCAATTCCTGTGTCAGTTACTATCCTACCCGGTTTTCTAAGTGCCCCCTCCCCTTATTCACAGGATTGTAATACTTGTAAAAGTAATTTGAAGTCCATATTTTTAAAAGTTTTAAGTGCAGGAAGATAGCCTCCAGGTTTATAACAAAAAATACTAACATACTAATATGAGTCCTCCATGTCTATAAAATCAGTTTTGGTTTCCCTGGAAAATACCAAACCTTGAAAATCTGACAAAAACTAGAATAAACTAGTATCCTTTCAAGAAATGTTGTTGTTTCCTATAAGGTACCTGTACTTTGGAATGGATGTTACCCAGTCTCTGCTTTCTCAAAGATGTAGAAATTACCAACTTGAGACAAGAGATACCTTTCCATGGTTTGGTTGTGACTTCTAGTCTACAGGCAGGGAAGGACCATCTCAGAGCAAGGAATTGACATAAAGGTTATAAAAAGTAAACTCTGAAGGTTGAGCAGATTTGTGAACTCCCTCAGAAAGGATGGAAGTAAAAACCAAATCCACTGTACTTCTCGGTATATATAGGATAGTGAGGGAGTATGATGCAGGAAAACCACAACAACAACACAGTAAGGACTTCATAAAGTTTCTGAGCTTTCAGATGTCAAGCTTGTTATTTTTGCTATTCCCAGAGTGATTAGTTATAAAACTTTTGTAATGAAATGGGCCCTTGTCCTAATTTCCAGGAGCAGCCAAGAATTAAGAAGGGGTGGTGAGCAAGCTTGCTGAATAAAGGGCCTCACTTCACACCTTGTCTTTGACTTAGATAACAACAATCTCAGCAGAATGAGAAGTGGAATTCAGATAGAGCACCTGCTGGAAAGAAAAGAGAACTCAGACCTGAAAAGTGGCTCTGAAAGCCGTAAAAAGTTGTGAATGAGGTTCTCTGGACAAAGGCACATACAATTTCTCTTTATCACCTGTGTTGGGTTTTTTTTGTATGTTTTGGGGTTTTTGGGGTCTTTTTCTTAGGAATATGTTTGCTAACTCATTAGCAAGTTCTTTGAAAACCCCTGCTGAGAAAAAAGAAAAATTTGTTGATTATCTAAATTTAAGCAGTGAACTTAGAAAAGACAAAATATTTTTGTGCTCTATATTTGTGGTACATTAATTGCAAGTTCCATGTAATTTTTCTGAGATGTAGGATGGTGAAGAATAAGAAATACTTTGTTCTGATTCAGATTTTTCAGTATGCCTTATAGATCCCATGTTACATATTTAAAGACTCATTAATAACAAATTTAAATAGTTTATTTTTCCATTATCATATTTTCCATAACAATCTTTAATGACCCAAGGGTGGAGTGTGAAGCAAAAACATTCCTAATTAAAGCATCCTCAAATGACAACCGAAGACCAGAAGAGACAGCTGAGGCACAAAGATGGCTAAAAAAATGAAACATTCATGGATGTTACAGGAAAGAACCCAAACCTGATTACTTCTTACTCCTACAACTTTATAGAATCTGTTTTCACTAATATCACATCAGAAAGCTTAATCAAGCTTTTATTAGTAGATAAGATGCCACCATCAGTAACTTTTGAAAGTACTGCAAATAAAGATGCAAGTTTAGAAAGACCCCAAAACTCTATACATCAACAAGTGGACATTTGTTAAACATTTTAAATAAAAGCTTCTATGCCTTTTGGTAATCTGTATGATGAAACTTGAACTCTTAGTATGGAGTTTTATATTCCAGACATTTGAAATATTTCTAAAATTCAAGTAAACAACAAATTATTTGTGGGCTAATGATTTGAGCTACCCTCAGGTCTACAAAAGAAACCTACAAAAGAAACATAAGGCAAAATATATAAAATATAGAAGCCAAAATTTATGTTAATTGTAGCTAGCTAATTCAGCCAATTTATGAATTGTAGTAATATTTTAATAAGCTGTATGTAAATATACTTCTGTAAGTAAACCCTTACTTCACCTGTTTTATATACAGAACCTAACATAGTGCCTGACACTACAGTAGATGTTCCATACATACTTGTCGGCCACTAAATATAAAAGAGAACACTTGTGTAGTCACAGTAGGATTCCTCTTAGTTTTATCTTGAATAGATGAAACTTTTGAAAACTTGAACCTTTTTCTGATCCCCTATACCATATTTGTCAGCACTTCTTTGGTTGTATATGACAGAAACCCCCTCAAAATGGCTTAAGAATAAAAGGGAATTTTAATGCCGCATAGGACCGAAACTGGAATTAATGCCTTTGGATCCTAGGGCTCAAGTGATGTGTTTGGAACCAAGTCATCCATTCTATTTTCCTTTGCGTTGACTCCATTACCAGACAAGCAAAATAGCTACCAACAGCTCCAATTCTACAACATATTCCCTTAGCAGTTCCTATGAAAAGAGCCTGTTTCCCCCCAGTTCCCCTGGAAACTCCTAGACTTAAACCCCATTGGCCCCAATTGGCTGAGTTTAGATACATGCCCCACCCTCGGATCCATGGAATGTGGATCGATCCACACTTTAGCCAAGTGTGCTAAAACCATAGGAAGGGAGAATGGGAGAGGATTAATGCTCTCAAGGAAAACTGAAGTGGTTATTACCAGAATAAGAAGGAATAGAAGCCAGCAGAGGCTACCCAGGGTTGACTTGGATGCTTTAGAATTTCCCAACTTCCATTTACATAACTAAATACACACGCAATCTAAATTTTTGAAAAATAACAGATGTTTGCTAAGTAAACACATCTTTAAGACAATTTTGTTTTCTGACAGATCACCACCCAAATACGCTCCTCTAAAAAAATTCTATAGCTATCCCCAGGTGCCAGGGAGACCAAAGCAACAGATGTTGTCCATCAGCAACTATATTTTCAAACACTTTCTAGATTTCACCTAAAGCCTCTAAAAACTGGTGCATAATTCAAGCAAAAGAAGTCTCAAACCAAATTGTCTTCTACGCTTGTATACACCTTGCCATCTTTTTTTAATGTTTCTTTTTTCTGAGAGAGAAGGAGAGAATCCCAAGCAGGTTCTGTGCTGTTAGTGAGATCATGACCTAAGCAGAAAGCAAGAGTCAGATACTCAATTGATTCAGCCACCTGGGCGCCCCTTCCCCCCTCCCGCCATCTTCTTTTTTTGTATCAACAACATCGGTATTCCTCCAGTTAGGCAGGCTGGAAAGCTAGGCATTTATCTTTAGTTCCTTGTTGTTTCTAATCTTCCACACCCAGTTACCAACTCCTTTCTACTCTATTTTAGAAATATTTCTAAACTTTATCCCCATCTCTACATCGACACCCTGTCAATACCCATTGCCATGGTTCAGGTCAAATTCTAATTATCCATTCCCTAGATTCTGCAGTGTGAGTTATCTGTAAAACTCATGGATCTGATCATGCCACTTCCATTTCAAGAAATTTTTCTAGAAGCAACTTAGGCATCTTAAGACTTGAAATGTCCTTATCCTTTGACTCACTAATTTCTCAGGTAGCTACCCATAAGAGCATGATAATAATAAAATGCAGATCAAGACTCATGCACCAAAAATATTTACTATGGCATAATTTATTTATTTTATTATTTTTTTTAATGTTTTATTTATTTCTGAGAGAGAGAGAGAGAGCGTGAACAGGGGAGGGTCAGAGATAGAGGAAGACACAGAATCCAGAGCAGGCTCCAGGTTAGCTGTCAGCACAGAGCCCGACACGGAGCTTGAACCCACCAACTGTGAGATCATGGCCTGAGCCGAAGTCAGACGCTTAACCGACTGAGCCACCCAGGTGCCCCTACTATGGCATAATTTAGAACAATAAAATTAAAGAAACCTAACTGCCCAACCATAGG